CTAAATATCTCATATTTATACTTAAAATATTTATTTATTATTTTTATTTTATGTATAGAGGTGTATTGCCTACATGTAAGTACACTGGAGACATGCAATACCTGTGAAGGTCAGAGGAGGTCATCAAATCCCCTGGAACTGGAATTACAAACAGTTGTTAGAAGCCATGTGGGTGCTGGGAGCTGAACTCTGGTCCTCTGCAAGAGGAGCCAGTGCTCTTAACCACTCATCCATCTCTCCAGCCCCCTTATGTTTCTACTTGAGGTTCCGTTGTTAGTAATCATTTTCAGTTTTAAGACATATGAGGAACGTACAGTTATTATTATTGACTTTTATTTTAATTACATTGTACCCTAAACACATATACAGTATTAAGTTCATTATTTGCTATATCAGTATTTTGTGAGCTAGAATGTGTTTCTTTTGTAAAACGTTTTATATTTGAAAAGATTTCTTCTCATTTGATCATATAGATTTCTGTGCATTTCCTGTGGACTGAGTCATTTATACAGTATTCTGATCTAGCCATGTCTGTTATTATCACTTTCTCTTTGTTGAATATTATTATGAGTCGTATTTATTTTATTACATTGGATTTTTGCTTTATATAATTTCAGGCTCTATTACTTGGCATACATATTTGCAGTTTCGTTATTGATGACCTGTGCATTCATTTTATCATGTAGTACCACAGTTGCCTTTCATGACGTCTATCTGGCTATTGTGAATGTTGCTCATGAGAAAAGGAAGGATCTCCATCCACCAAATTTTAAAACATGCACAAGAAAAGAAGTTATGTTAAAATGAAAGCTAGCAATATCTACAGTTTTAGGTTTTTGTTTTGTTTTGTTTTGTTTTGGAGCACAGGCAAGAGTAGGGAACAGCTAGGTCTTTGCTTGTAGGATTTCAAAAGAAAAATAACTTTTGATACAACACTTTTTTCAAATAGAGTATGAAAGTACAACCAGTGAATAAGTTCTCAAATACTACTATTGCAAAACAATGAGCACTCTTGAAGGGAAAAAGTATATTTTACAGATTTGCTGTAATAAATCACTTTACTCAGCATGTACGTCATGCCCCAACAATTAAGGTTTTATTTATAAGTGTTTCTAGGAAGATGGAAATGAAAATTTCTCCCTTTCACTAGTTTGAATTTTTATTCTTTTTTAAAAACTATTTTATTCATTATTTTATGTGTATGAGTGCATCGTCTGCGTGTGCATAAGTGCATCTCTGTTGTGCATTACCACCATGTGGGTTCTGGGAACTGACCTGGGTCCTTTGCAAGAGCAACCAGTGCTCTTAACCACTGAGACATCTCTCCAGTCCTGAATTCTTATTTTTAGGATGATGAATTCGTGGTTATGATGCAGCTCACTGGAAGAGTTCTTTTCCAATATATCCAAGGCCTTAGGTTCAATGAATCACACTGCACAAAAATTAATTTCAATAGGAAATATATTTAAATGCTTATAAAATTTAACATGTATAAAGTGAGAACTAATTTCCATTTCACTATTGTATGCCAGCTATCAGGTCCCACAGCAAACAGTACGCCCTCACTGAACCTTCCAGAAATACCTACTCTATGCTTTAAACTCAAATAGGTCTAGAAAATTTTATTTTAAACTTAATTGGTAGCATCATAGGCTTCCTATTTGAACTCTGATGTTTTCAATTTATAAAATGCTGGCAATTACTCCATACCAATGTCAGAACATGCATATGTATGCCCTATATTTTGTTGTATCTCTGTAACAAACGCTACTTTTTAAAATAATTGCTAATGAGCATTTATGCTAGTTTTTAAAATCTTTGCTAATGAAAATAGTCTTGCAAAGAATTTTCATGCTTATCTTCAATTTTTTTGCATCTTCACTGTATTTTTAAAATAATTCATTACTGATGAACTCTCTTGATTAAAAGTTATCCACACTGTATTTTTATGGATCACTTTATAGCACAGCTGTGGTTTGGAATGAAGTGTCTTTCTAAAAGGCTCACTTGTTGAAAGCTTGGACCTTACCCTGTAGGATTGGTGCTATTTTTTGAAGTTCTATAAATTTTAGATACCATGGCCCAGCTGGAGGAAGCAAGGCAATGGGATCAAGCCCTTGGTGACTATCTATTGCCACAGGCCCTCTCTGTGTCACTCTGTTTCCTGTCCATCATGAAGTAGACAGCACCCTTTTCCACATGTTCCCAGTGCCATTCTGCCCAGCCTCACGATAGGCTCAGAATCAGTGCAGCTGAGACTATAGATAGAAATCCCTGAAATAAATTATCTCTACCTTAAACCTACATTTTCTTACACTGAATCTTACAAATTTTATTACATCAGAATTATTAATAAATTTGTATTTACTATGATAATTTTCAGCTTGCAAAATAAGGTTTCATAATTATTCAGATTAATTCAGAGAACAGTTTAAGTTGAAAAGAACTTATTAATCATTTTATTTTAGTGGTAAGGAGGACATTGAATTCCTGAAAAAAAAGTTTTTGAAAGGCAATACCTGTTCATACTCACAGTAGAGAATCACACATTTGTCTAATTCAAATTAGATATTCTTTCTTTTGTACTATGCATCCAGAGCAACATTTTCTTTACAAACAAAATAGTTCAATTACTTTATTCACACTATGACTGTATTGTAATGTCAAAGTTAAATGAGAGGGAAGACTCCACATAGAAGTGGGTTATATTTGTGAATGATACAAAAGCTCCAGGATACACGTGGAGGCCAGGATGTTTCCTTCTTTGTACAGACAATAAAAGTAAGTTAGGAGTTTATTGGGAAAGGGAAAAACAAGTCACACTGTTTCAAAAGCAAGCTCACTGGGGCTGGGGAGATGGCTTAGTTGGTAAAGTACTTGGATACAAGCATGAACCTAAGTTAATATCCCCAACACCCATGTAAGAGCAAGGGGTGGCAGCTGGAGTCTGTAACCCCAGCACTGGGTAGGCAGACAGAGAGGCTCCCGGAGGATTTCTAGCCAGTCAGTGTAGCTGATCAACAAGCTCCAGGTTCAATAAGAGATTCTCCCTCAAAAAATAAGAGAAAATGATGAAGGAAGATAACCCAACAATGGCCCCTGGCTTCCAAAATCAGGTATGCACATGTGCACCAGCACATACCTATGAACACACATGAACACACAAAAGAATACATGCATATACACAAGAAAGATGGAAAGAAAAAAACTCACCAGTATGTGTGTATCTGGGCACAGCTGGCAAGGCTCACTGGTGACAACTAAGCATGGCTGGCTAACTTAGCTTCAAAGGATGTTGGCTCATCGCAGTTACTGGCTAAAACTAGCCATTACAATTTTTCACATACTGTTACTGACCTAGCTAGTCAGTCTATAGGATAATCATTTGGGACTTGAGTATATTTTCCTTATGGACTTTGGTTCCATTTTAATAGGATATAACTACATGTTCTTAATTTGCATGCTCAATTTCCACAGTATCAGCAATTATAGCAGTAACATTGCACGATAAAGGCTGCAATAGAGTTAGCACTCACCTTGCTAACTAATCACAACTACATGGAGAGGTTGCTGAGAGATCTGCAGGTCTTCTGAGCTCTTTTCCCGTTCTTGAAAAGGCTTGATATACTTGTCAATCTGAGGTCAGGAGTGGCTCTGCTCACCATGATGGACTTCCTTGCATGCTTGACTTACCTCCTGTGCTGTCCATTGCATCCTACAAGATGGAGTCTTTTCTTCACATTGATTTATTTTATGTGCTGAATAGGTAGAGCTTTTTATAACAACTTTATAGGTATGTAAAATATGTGTAATGACTTCCCCACAGCATTTTGTACCTAAGAGCTTGTATTAAGGTCTTTGCAGAATGCTAGCTGTTGGACATAAAATGATGAACAAAACAAAGCAGAGAAGATCACTGTTTTCAAACAGCTTACAGTGTATCAGGGGAAAGTTAGGATGAACAAATAAGAATTAATTTTAAAACATGTCTCAGATAGAATATAGGCTAGCGTGGTGTGCTATAAGGGCCACAGGCTTTTATTAAGTCAGGAAACACTCCTCACAGTAGATGAGGTGAATGAGGACAGTAGAGTTGGTGGCAATGGACAAAAAGGGTTCGAATTAGTTTGAATTATAAATTTAGATCTCAAAAAAAATAGATAAATAAATAAATTTAGATCTCCATAGGATATAAACTCACCAGAACTTTTCCATTTCCTTCTCTGTGACTATGATGTTTTTCTCTCCTCTAATAATAGTTTAACTTACAAGAACTACAAATAAACTTAGGGGTATTTGTGTGTATGTGTGTGTGTGTGTGTATGTGTGTACAATACCCAAGAGGCCTGGAGTTCAGAACCCTTAGAGTTGTAGTCACAGAAGTCAGTGGGCTGCACCATGTAGGTACTGGTATACAGACTCTCATCCTCCTGATTGAGCATCAAGCACTCAGTCCCTGAGCCATCTCTCCAGCCCCATGATGTTACCTCTAACTATGGAAAAATCCTCCACCTTCCTTCTGCTCAGCATAAGCCCAATGGCTCTTCAAAAATTCTCTTTTCTTGGGTCTTTCAGGCTTTTCCTTATGGATCTGTGAGTATGTGATAAGCTAAAAGCTGTAGAGCTAGCTTTAACCAACTTTGAGAAGTTGATATAGTAATGTTCTTAGCTTGGATTATCAGCTAAAATTCCAAGAGGATAGAGAATCTTCCAATATTGTCATTGTTGGAACTGTTCATGTATTTTTTCATCAGAATTCTTTCATTGGGTATATGGAAATTCAAGAAACAAAAGCACACCAATTAATACCTTGTTTAACAATATAAATCTAAAGTTTAAAAGTTTAAGTTTTAGATTCTAACATATTGCTTCTTTCATGTCAGAATTACATAACCAAATACATTTTTAAATTGAATGGAGTTGTGACTCAAGTACTTTATTTCACATACCCAGAGTACATAAATATTTTCTTAAAACTATTAAAATAAATTCTATTACAGATCCTTTTGAAGCATTCATCATCTTTTCTATCCGCCATGAGATCCGAAGGATTGATCTGCATAAAAGGGACTACAGTCTGCTCGTTCCTGGACTGAGAAACACCATAGCACTTGATTTTCACTTCAATCAAAGTTTACTCTACTGGACAGATGTTGTAGAAGACAGAATATACCGTGGCAAGCTTTCTGAGAGTGGGGGTACATATATTCCATTTCCACTGAATGTTTAAATTAGTTTTAAAATGACAACATATACTATCAGAGGGAAATCTGATTAATATTTGACCTTCAGTTCTATCTATATATGTGAAAATAGAAAGTCAAGCACATGTGTGTGGGGAGAGGTGTGTGAGGAAGTTCTAAGCTACTTAGGCATTATATTTTGCAGAATTTTCCACAGACTTACAGTAAAGAAAATTTATTTCCTAGGAAGAATATAAAGAACAATTTCTACATACTAGTAATTGAATTTTGAGGAGTTAAAGCAGCTTCTTTTACTTAGCTGACATCTTTCAACCTAATTCAGAGAACTAACGAAGACTTTTTACAAAGACTCCAAATAAGAGCTTTGTATTTTTGCCATTATTGAACTTATCTCTTTTATCTAATAAGGAGCATGTGTTTTTGAAATAAGTCTGTGTAATACTTCTCTTGAAAATGATGCCTTTACGTGGCATTGCCAGAGTAAGTTCTATAAAATTGTTAATTTCTCTCTAAATCACCTTTGCAATTTCAAAACTAGTAATGTTTAGATACAGTATACTTACAATGTATGCATTTGTCTCCTGTGTCTTACATTCATATAAACATTAAATGGAATTAATGAATGAGTTAACTATTGAAAAGGCACATCGTTAAACTTTATAATGAAAACTACGAGCTCTGCCATAAACTATAATCTGTATACTATTAGAAAAGAAGATTATAAAATGATTTATTTTAATTTGTAAAGAAATTAAGTAGTAGAAAAGAGATTTGGCAAGTATTACCCAACTGCTTATTTTCATTCTGCCCACACTAATACCCTTTCCTCGTGTATCTTTCTTACATAGGACCACTATTATGGTCCAGAAAAATAGCTAGATTATAGATCCCTAATGCTTCTAAAAAGAGAAAAAGTGTGGATGATTATTAACCACAATTTATGTAGCTCTAGTAGAATTTTCCCATTTACTTTTTTTCTATCCTTGAAAGTCAACCTTTAAATTAAATTGCACTGATTTTTACCACTGTGCTTCATTCTTTTAAAAGATCTCTTATTTTGCCTGTAAAGTCAGAAAGAAGGAATAACTGGTTTGGAAAATTATTTTTGTTATTGCCCTATGTTTTATAAAGGTCCTGAAAGGATTTATAAGGTTAAAGATTCCTGGTAAGGAAGATCAGCAATTGTTAATTTGGGAATCAGTTTCCTCTGTGTTAGATGCTATTTGCACTAGAACTCTCACAGCTGAAGTCATGTTGGAGTGCTTTGGACTGTGATTGCAAGCGGGCTTGTTCTTTGTGCTTCCCACACTCTTTAATGGCTGCACATGTTGGCTTACCTTCTTTCCTAGGTGTCAGTGCCATAGAAGTGGTTGTGGAACATGGCCTGGCAACCCCAGAAGGTCTGACGGTCGACTGGATAGCAGGAAACATATACTGGATAGATAGCAATCTAGACCAAATCGAAGTGTCCAAACTAGATGGTTCTCTGAGAGCTACACTGATAGCAGGGGCCATGGAGCACCCGAGGGCTATCGCCCTGGACCCGAGATATGGGTAAGAAGCTTAGCTTTTACATATTCTCTATGTCATAGGAAAGGCTTTCCATTTACTGTTTGATTAACTAATAATTGATTAGATGAAATGCTGCTTCTGTTTCTATGCTTATGCCTGTGTACCTGTGCGTCCCAGTATAATGAGGTGAAACACATTTCCAGGAGTTTGGTCCCAGGATTACTTACTCAGGTATTTTCAGAGACTGAAAATATCTTTCTTCTAAATATGGGCAGGAAGCCCTGTTGGAAGCTATTGCAACTCTTTTTCAAAGCAGTAATTTAATGAATTTCTATCTGCTCTGCCAAAGGGATGCTGTAATTGTTTCTAATGGTTACAAACCACAGGGCCAGCCTTTGTTCTGAATAGTCACAGATGTTAACCACTTCACCCTTTATTTATTTTGCATGTTCTTGGAGTCAATTGAAAAGAAACTTAAAATAGGCTTGAAGGAGTCTAGCAGTGAGATGCTGACTATTGGGAAGTTTGAGAGACAAAAGACCTGATTCTGGAAAATGAGGTTAAATGCTGAATGACTCAGGTTCCTGCTGGTCCCTTGGGTGTTCATTTTAAAAACAGCACAAGAGAAACAGATTTGGAGTCAGGAGCCATAAGTTCCAGTTCCTGCCCAAGCACTTGCTCTCTGGACAAATCAAGTGTAGAATGCTTAGATTTTAGCTTTCTCTTCTGAAAACAGAGGATTATATGGGGAGATAATTGGCAACCAATGCGGGAGAATATCTTAAATATATTAAAATTCTCTTAAATTATGAATTTCCATGGTAATAAGCTTATAAACTGAAAATTCCTGTCACATCTGTAGAATATTAAAAAAAAAAAAAAAAAAAAAAAGACTATCCCGGGTACTGTAGCTGAAATTCAAAGCCCAGGAAGCATCAATCAGAGAGCTGCATGGGGCTCAAGGAAGCTGGAGGAGATGCAGAGGGGAGAAGCCCCTGCCTGGATTTTGGTGAACTTCCTGCTCATATAATGCCTCCTGCTTTGGTCTGTGCCCAAGACTCAGATGCCCATAGATTGGGAGGCTGTTGCCTTTTTCTTAATTTAGATACTGCAGCAAAAGAGCAAACTACTTGTCTAGAGAAGGGATGCAGTTTTAACAACTCCTGCCAAGGGCTTTGATTTGTCTCTCACTGGACCTTAAAGGTATTTTGAATCCAAGACAAGCATCTCAAGTATTGAGAAATTTTACTTGACACCCTTGATTTCTGGTATTTTTGGAATTAGGAAGATCTGGCATGGATGAGCACAGATGGTTATTTTTTTTCTGCTCAGAGTTGTATCCTTTAACACACAGTCTGCCTTGTCTATCTCATTACCTGCTGTAATAAAAATTCACCTGAAAAATTCGAGAAGTTAAATGAGAAAGGCCCTTCTTTTTCAATAATCCGTTTCCAAAATGCAAATACATTGCTGATCCTGACCCTGCACCCCCCCACACACACAAAGCATCTAGCACCTGAATCTCCAGTGTGCTCATAGCTGAGGTGAAATTCTCTGTCATTCCCATCTATGCTGTACCAGCTTTCTATCTGCATGAGAAACTTCCCATTTAACAGAAAGAGATATGTGAATCAGGTGTATTGGTACCTTTATTCTGACGCAAGAAGGAAAGTGAGAATGCTTCCCCCGTCACAGATGACAAGAGAGAGACAAACACAAACCAGCAAAGGGAAGTTGGGACATTGTGTGGCCGCACCAAACCATCAGTGGGAGAAACTTCATGTCCTAAGCACTGTACTGACAACCAGGAGGCTGATCTTATTTATCTGCTTGTTTGCATAATATCTAAGCCCTGCTATGAAAGTGACATTAATTAATATAATTAAAGTGCAATTGAGGTAATTTTTTAAGAAAAACAGAGCAGGAGATAATAAGTCTAGAATTGTTTCTGGCATAAATGACCAAAGCTCAGATGACAGTACTAATTCCTTTTAGAGGGAGGAATAATTGAAAGGTTGGCAGGTTTGGCCGTCAGGATTTGATACCATTTTTAAAAAAATTATTAAATACAATAGTGGGATGATTAAAGTATAAGATATATGTGACCACCGTGAGTCAAGCAATTGAATTTAAATCTAATGCAAGCATGAAAGAAGTTTAGATTTATAGGATAGTTCAGTAACACATTCTCAAGTTATTTTAAATATTTTAAATATTAGGTAAACTGAGAACATAGGAACACTTAGAACACATAAACACATTTATGCATGAAAATACATACACATACAACCTACACACATATATACAGCTAGCAAACATACACATACATACAAACACACAGATACACAGACACACCACACACAGAATACATACTCACACATACACACATGTACCCACATAGATTCATGCACATACATATGCACATTCACATACACACAACATACACACATGTGTACATACATCTATGTATCTATACACAGGCAGCATACATGTACATGGATACATATATACACAGACACACATAGACACACATACAGCATACACACACATACATAGTCTATACCATGCACACACCCATACACACAGCACACACATCATACATACACATGCACTCATACACCCACACAGTGTATACACATACTTGTACAGCATACACAGCACACACACACACACACACACAGGCACAATACATTCACAACCATTGCAAAGTGACAGTGAATAAGAAAACCAACAAAGTAGTTATGTTACTTAAATTAAGTTTATTACCTTAGTGTTATAAAATAGAAACAGATTTGCTACATGTTTCTCAAAATTTTCCCAAAACATATAAGGAAATTCTGAACTTCCACTGATAGGTTCTTCAAAAGCATTTAAAATTATTTTTAAATCTTTAGTTTTATGAGAAATTCTTTGCATAATTGCTGAGAAGTCTGATTTGAATAAATAATTTCATATTTCTTATTAAGTCATAAGCTTTTTTTGTGGTAAAATAAATTGCTTCCAAGTCTGAAATCCATCACAGTTCTTGATATGTATAAAGGTGCCTAATAAATGCTTGTTAAATAAATGCATGCCTATGAGCTGGCTTTGCTAACATGCCACCAATATGAACTCAAAATATACAGTGAAAGGGAACTAATGGGGAATATCATAAATTTTGTTTATGATAGCAAATGAAAGGTTTGTCCCTAGCCACTTTGCTCGGTCCACAGGCAGACAAAAAAAATCAAGCAAATCAAAGCCCTCGCACCAACCCCATGAAACAGGTTTACCTCGCCTGAACTTCCTGTAGTTGTCAAAGTCTGTGTGATAGACTTTTACAGAACAGTGTTTTCAGAAGCCATTTTGCTTCCTGGCATCCAACTTGCTGGCTTTCATTTTACATTACAAAACACCCCACTTTCATTTAGTATTTTGAGTTTTTAATCCATCTCCCCGGTGACAAGTTACAATATGATGGCCAGGTAGCTCTCTTAGAGAGAAGTCATTTTTCTTTCATTCCATTTTAAGGTAATGTAGTTTTTGCTGAAGTGCCCCAGAGGAGAGCTTGAACTCTTTAAAACATCAAGCTTATTTCTAGATTCTGAATGTGCCTCGTCTAGAACTTCATGTTCTTATTCTAAGAAGCCACAGGACAGCTTCTATCTCCACTGCTTGTATTCACCTTTCAGGTGCCCCCATAACCGATTCTCCTCTGGTGACCACAGTAACCAGAGTAGAACTAGCACTTGTGAAGATTAGTGAGACAATTAAACTGAATTTTACCTGATAATATTCTAAATAAAAGTAATCTTTATCCATTATCAGTTTTAGAAGACAAAAATATTATTGATAAGCAAACTCTTTTTTTTTTCTTTTCAAAAATCCTTTGGATTCACCTACTGCAAATCGACCTGACAGATGAGCCTATAACAGTCTGGATGGTTCATGGTCTATCAACTCAGCTTAAGCCAGAATCCAACTAACCCTTAAATGCAGAAACTAAAGAGGTAGCCTGTAGTTACTTTTCAAAAAGCAATTGTGTCTGAACATCTCTATGTGTCTTGTTACAAAGATATATTCATTCTTTGTATCCTTGAGGAAATAATGCAATCATTGTAATGCTAATACATTTTTATCATTTAAAAAGAAGTAAGAAAAATGATTTTGTTAGGACACCAAGTTGTAAAGTATAGAAAAGTGTGCTTAAACAATGACCCACAAAATCAGCTGAGGAAGTTGGTTGTGTGAAATGTCTTTTACCAAGGTAAAGAACACTTTCATGGAAGTAATTTTAGAACTCGTTCTTTTATAAAAAGTGATGAAAATTTCTCACCGATATTGATGGAAGCTTAATATCACAGCGGTCATCAGAGATGAAGAAACACACTCACACTTATATTAAATGAAGAAATGATGGGATCAAACCACTTATATTAGAATGCTGCAAAGTGTCTCAAGCCACATTACAATTATACCTGAATAAATAATCACCCGGACACTTAGTGCTACAGCCAAGAGTAGACCTTAAGGCTGAGACACCCATGTGAGTCAGACACCTCTGAGACACAGAGCCGTGTTTTCTCAGCCAGGCTCACCCATACTTTTTTTCAAACCAAAGGTAGAGGAGTTTTGAATCTCAGAAATGATAGGTTTGGAGATGCAGGGCAGAAAAAGATGGCTTTATCCACCCAAGCAATTGCTGAGCCAGGTATATGCTTCTAATTTAGTTTCTTCATCATATTCCCCTTAACAGCCTCAAAACCAGGCACAATACTTTTCTGAGTTTCTTCCATTGTCTTTTGCCCCATGGAAGGGAGCTTTATGGGTGGCAGAATTAGGTAGACAGAGGTCCATAAGGTTTCATAAGATATAGTTTCTTCAGAAGTATGCTTCTGTTTCTGTGGTAAGGCTGTATATATACTTTAACTTGGCTCCAGAGAGTTAAATGCTTCCATTGAATTATTTGTAAGCATTAGCTTAATTGTTTACCAATTTTTCCCAATATTCTGATTTAAGTATTCTATGGTTCAGATACCATGGAAAATATTTCAGAATAACCTTTAAAGATTCACAGATTTGCTTTGATGGTGCTTTAATTTCATTCCTTTAAGTAAATTCATTAGTGGCACTGCATGCACACAAGATTCAAGACATAAGGAGCTCTCCGTTGTGAAAGCAGACAGGTGAAAGGAAAGTGAAAGTTTGAGCACAATTCCTTGCAGTTCAGACCTGGTAAAGGAGATTAGAAAAGGGAAAAATAACAAGCCTTGCCATTGCAAGCTGCAAGAAAGCCTCGTGCTTGTTGCCATATCACTTATCTTCAGGTTCAACTGACTGTTAACATCCAAGCATTTCCCTTTCCTTCAGAACCTTTCCGGGAGCCTGTCCATGAGTTAATGCTCTGACTTGAGGTATCAAGGAAAGCCTTGTGCTCAAACAACTTACAATGTATGACTGAGGGTTCCCATATTTCCCTTTTTACTCTGGACTTCTCCAGCCACTGACCTGGGAGTTTGGAGTAGAGCATCTCTTCCTTACATAAGGCACCACAATGAAGTGTTAATTAGCTCACTAAGTCACATTACAGTTACAATTAAATAATCACCCTGACTCTTAGTGCTAAGGCCAAGAGTAGATCCTAACTGTGAGATACTCATTTCTCCTGGTGTTTCAAGAAGCTGTGCTTCTGAGCCAGTCACCCCCATACTTTTATTCAGACAGTCTCTCCAGCATGAACTGGGGAACCACAAGCTTGGATCCACCCTTGCCTTGAGTATCTTGCCCTTTGATATCTAAGCCTAAAATATCTTATATATGCCATGTCAAGCATACTTCATAATTCTCATGACTTCCAATAAGTATAAAAATATTCTTTCTGTACTTTGATGTACTAATTCAAGCACATCCACATTCATTCACTGTCATGGGTAGAGGGCAAAGTGGAATCCCAAGGCATCAAGTTCAGGTGCCCAGGTCAAAAGGGCAAATGGCTCAGTCATCTTATTTGCATTATAAACAGTACCTTTTGGGTACAAGATTAAGTAAAAGTCATTAGTCCAAATTCTGTCCATATTGTAAGTCATTCCCACAGTGAGACATAAACCATTCCAGATCCATTGTTTGCAGGAAACAACTACGTAAATGAAGAGTACACCAGCCTCATACTAATTAGTCTTTGTTCCATTTTCTTTTTAAATGCAGATTATAATATCCTTGCGGGGTTATTTTTACCTGTGAGTTATTTCATTCTAACACTATTTCCACATAATTAGTGTTTTTAATTCCAAACACTCTTATCCTTCAAACATTTGTCCATTTATTTAAAAAACACTAGTGAATAATATTTGAATATTTTGTAAATATCCTGTAGTAGATTTTGAAATTTCTCATTACTCATTTAATTTTGAAATTTTGAGAAATTTACATTTTAAAAGTTTCATTATAGAAATGGTAAAACTGCATGGTAAGTTACCTTGTTTTATCCAGCTTCAGTAATTATCAGTGTGATGCCTCTGAGATAACCCTCCATACTTATTCTTTTTAAAATATCAAATATTTCCATGGTCGAACAACAGTTTGATGAATTCTTTCCATCACCATAGCTTGAACACACTTAAAAACTTTAACTTAGTGTGCTAAAAGAGATATTGCTATGCGATTACTGCTCAGGAAACAAATTCTCAGACTTTGATCATTTTACTTCATAAAGATATGTGTAAGTCATCTTATAGCATTTTAAACAATTCTTTGCCTCAGCCCTATTTTCTGTTTTCTCTACAGTTTGCCCAGTCTGACATTTCTCCTTAACAATAGTTATTATCTGTGATTTTTTTTGTGTGTGTGGCTACATAGCGCCCCCTTTCTCTCTCATCATCTTGTATGTTAATGAAGTCATGGACACCATCTCCTCCAATGTGCCTTCCAAAGCACACTATTAGAGTTTTCACTTTAAGAAGTAGTCTGAAATTAAGTATGCTGGAGACCATTGTGAAAAATGACATTTTATTTTACTTAGCTGTGTAACCAAAGTTAATTTTACCTTTTGAGATCATTTAGCACTATCTAACCAATCTGCCTTCCTACTATGTAAGCAGCTTATTTGAAGTTAGCCAGCCTTTAGGGAAAAGGTGTAAACAATCTTACCAGGCCTCTAGGCCTTGTTTCTTCTTGCAACCCGCTTTTACAAGATAAGCTAAACACATAACTCCAGTCTTAAACCATGTCCCCCATTTCGTCTTCATGACCCCTTTATTCACTTGGCCCACAATTTTGCGTGTGTGTGTGTGTGTGTGTGTGTGTGTGTGTGTGTGTGTGCTTGTATGTTTTTTTGATGATCTCATTGCTGACCTTAGCAGCTTTGGAAAGCTATGAATTATCTACAGTATATTGCAAACATATGAGTTCATACCAATAACATTTCCTTGTGGTTTTGTATGCTATTCTGGGTCAGAAAAATCAAACTCTTCCTTGATAAGACAAAGTTTCTTATTCTTCCTTTCTCATGATCATCCTGGATGTTCTGTTCAAATAATTAGAGAACATAAGCTCTTGTCAGAAGAACAGTTCTGAGAGAAATCAGAAAGAACCGTTCTGAGAACAGATGGGACTCACTCTTCATTTAAACTTGAATTGTGCACTGCCAAAATTGTGTATCTACCACAGAAAGTGACAAATAACAATGTAGATTCCATGTGTGTTTGACATAAAAGCATATAAATTAATTTCCACTACTCAGCATTGTTAAAATTATTTAATGGGATTTCTCGAACATTCAGTGATTTAGTACAAGAAATTTCACTTTTCCCCTCCGCTGCCCTACTGTGTTAGCACACATAAAAATTTATTGTTAATTATCTTGAAAATTGTGTTCTAATCGTTTCACATGGGTAATTCCGGTAGCCTACAAGAAAATATACGCTTCTAAATACTTGTGACAATGAAAATATAATTCACATCCTTTATATTTCCTTAAACAGAAATACATTTTCAAAACAAATAATGTAGGTTTATTGAATTTTAAGGTCTGTCTTAGAATTGTTTCATTTTCCACAAGTCAGCAAAGTCCTGTACTCCGGTATCATACAAAATAGTGGAAAAAATAACAATTATAAAACTGTAGACAACAGACTTATTTCACTCATTTTTCTGTTTCTGACCAGCAAGTTGTTGGGACTGAGAGGAACTTTGTACTGTGGCTTTCTCATTTAATGCTGTCTACGCCCATCTGCTTCTGCTCTTGCCTCCCACCTCATAAATTCTGGTCCTCGTCCCTTTTTTTTCCTTCACAGTTAATGGACATCTTCCTGTATACCCTCTCCACACTTTCCCTCCGTACCACTTATGAGTCTGTTCTCTGTTAGTCCTTCCATCCAACCTCTCAGGTACTGCCTAACAAAGTTTGTCTCTAAAGGATACCTTGAATCTGTTTGTTCCTCCTTCACTGCTTCTACCATTTGTGGACAGTATCATCTTCTGGCCTTAAAATAAATAACTGCATGACACCTTCACTCTTGTCTCACCGTGCTCTCTACATCTCTCTCTCTCTCTCTCTCTCTCTCTCTCTCTCTCTCTCTCTCTCTCTCTCTCTCTCTCTGTGTGTGTGTGTGTGTGTGTGTGTGTGTGTGTGTGTGTGTATGGTTTGTGGTTCTCCTTTGTTTACAAGCTTTCAAAGGCAAGGCTTACGCATTACTTACTACCTTGGTATAAAATCCCCAGGAATGTCCTGATGCCGTTAAGTCCATAGGCTTTGTCCACTTCATCTGCTCCTTTCCCATGCCAAACTTTGGATGGCCTGACCCTTCTCTGAACCTCATACCACCTCTCTCCTCCCATTGGGCCTGTAGGTAGGACACTCACCTGTTACTTCTTCCTGTCACAACTTTTTCTTTAAAATAGCTCACAAATTGTTAATTACAAGTACATGAAATTATGTAGTCTGTCTGCTCCTACATACTCAAAGCCACTGGGTTAGATAACACATCCATTTCTCTTACAATGTTCACCTAGCCAGTGCCCTACTCATAGTAGGCATGAGTTAAATACTTGAAATTAATTACTGAAACAATAGTATTTTTCCTTTTTCCTCAGAATTCTTTTCTGGACAGACTGGGATGCCAATTTTCCTCGCATTGAATCTGCCTCTATGAGTGGTGCTGGAAGAAAAACCATCTACAAAGACATGAAAACCGGGGCGTGGCCTAACGGACTGACAGTTGACCACTTTGAAAAAAGGATAGTTTGGACAGATGCCAGGTTAAAAAATATGTTTTGTTTTCTGTATTACCAATTACTGTCTCTGGATAATGTTAACAACATTGAAAAGTTTCTCAAGCACACATTTCATATGCTTAGATCAGTAATTGGTTTTGTTTTGCTTTGGAAAATAATAGATATAGGCTCATAAAAATACTGTAACTGGGGCTGGAGAGATGGCTCAGGGGTTAAGAGCACTGACTGCTCTTGC